TAACAATATCCAATCCATCTTGTGCACATACAAAATGGTTGAGTATCAAACCATTCTTATCCTACAACGATTTGATTGGTCAAGCAAAGACAATTATATTAGAACTATTGGGGTGGACAAAGTAAAGGCAATAGATGCAAAAGAAGGACAAACACAAAAAATACGAAAAAAAGAACACTAAAAAAAATATTTCATCCGCACATCTCTCCTCATGGCATTGTACACAGCTTGAACCTGCAAATCACAATAAAATTAAAAGTCATTAATACTATTCATCCAGAATGACTAACAGTAATCCTCCATCTACATTCATTCACATATAGACACAAAATATAAACCATGCATGCAAATCAGAAGTGAAGATGAAGTTTCATTCATCTTATTCAATGCCTTCTGCAGTCTATATTTGTTTATGTTATGATATAATCACTACAATTTTTTCCTGGTATCAGAGAGGCTGCATCATAGAATCAGACCAACCAAATGGATAAATGGCAGAGAAAGAGAGAGAATGAAACAACCCAATCCATTTAGCAATATTCAGAGTACTAATGACCTCAATAACGAATAAACTAAATGTTCATTAAATATCAAAATTACTAAAACACCTCGAAAATGAATAAAGAACCTCTCGATAACTGTTCAAACTTCAACCAGTTCAAATTACAACTACTCAAAATCTTTCATTCATTGATCAACCCGATTCTCCACCGATTTTTACTCCAAATTCAACCTGCAACTGAGAGGGTAAATGGGAGTGAACTAGGGAAAGCCCAGTAAGTAATTTAAAACATAATATACGAAGTCAAAGGGCGAGACGATAATTTATCAACTAACCGATAATCTTCGATGACAGAAGAATTAATACGATAATTTATGGAGTACAAAGAAATTGAACAAATCAACGATCTCGAACGTTTGAACAAATCAAATCAACCATGATTGAACACTCGGTCAATTCCAACAACAAGCTAGGCATCATTTGGTGCATTTTAATTCAATCATGTCCACCCCCAGGGCCACGAACACGAATCACAATCATAACCATGCCACCGAGTATACCTCATGCACGAGTCGAAAAATCTCAAGTATTTCACCAAAACAAACATCATAGCGATTAATGACAAGTCAAACAAAATATCAACAATTGAACGAAATATTATTTCGAAACTCAAACCCAAACGATGTCACAATTTGAATACGAATAAGACGATATCAATAAAATACTCTTTGCAAAGAGATTAAAGGAATGCATATCATGTATAAACCACGTACCCACTTCTTAACCGATTGATATATTGATAACTCGAAATATCTCGAACAACATACTAGAATTTCTTTCCAATCGGATGTCATCTTGCTGTTGGTTTTCACAAGAGCAGTTGTAACTCTATTTATTTTTTTTTTTCTACCCCCTTCACAATTCTTATCCTTGAGGCAGTAGCTCTTCTACCCTTTTATTGCCTCTCTTTATTTATTTTATGCAGGTTCTCCTGCCTTGACAAGAAATAGACACACATCACATGCCATGCATTTGTATAAATTGAACAAGTGTCCTACTTTACACCTCATGCTTTCTTTTATAGTTACCCATTTTTTTCTTGCTTCTTATCTCTGCTATTTTGTTTTGCTATCTTATTTTATTCCATAGCTTTTAATTCATTCACGTTGAAGACTTGCCCATATTTTCATAGTTACACTTATCCTTTATTTCATATATATATATTTTTTTTCCTTACTCGATATATTTCGGTCACTATAAAATTTATAATAATCAAATATTTCACAATTAAATCCTAAGTTATAACTTGACCCTAAATGAAATTCGTATAATTTCTAACAATATCATAAAACTCATAAAATTTTAATTATTGAATCTAGTTCGAGTCGAGACTCGGTCATCACAATCCACCCACCTTAAGAAAATTTCGTCTTTGAAATTTGCAAGTCATAAATCATATGCTAGCTTTGACCGATCACATTCTGTAAATTATCTATGCACCCAAAATCAACTACACTATTACCCACAAGTCGTCATCCTAAATAATTAAACCTAGGAAAGTCTACAGAATCTCATGCCTAAAGCTCTGATACCAAAATTTGAAACACCCCAATCCATTTAGCAATATTCAGAGTACTAATGACCTCAATAACAAATAAACTAAATGTTCATTAAATATTAAAATTACTAAAACACCTCGAAAATAAATAAAGAGCCTCTCGATAACTGTTCAAATTACAACTAGTCAAAATCTTTCATTCATTGATCAACCCGATTCTCCACCGATTTTTAATCCAAATTCAACCAGCAACTGAGAGGGTAAATGGGGGTGAGCTCGGGAAAGCTCAATAAGTAATTTAAAACATAATATACGAAGTCAAAGGGCGAGACGATAATTTATCAACTAACCGATAATCATTCGATGACAGAAGAATTAATACGATAATTTACGGAGTATAAATATATTGAACAAGTCAACGATCTCGAACGTTTGAACAAATCAAATCAACCATGATTGAACACTCGGTCAATCCCAACAACAAGNTCCACCCCTAAGGGCCACGAACACGAATCACAATCATAACCATGTCACCGAGTATACCTCATGCACGAGTCAAAAAATCTCAAGTATTTCACCAAAGCAAACATCATAGCGATTAATGACAAGTCAAACAAAATATCNCCCACCCCTCAGGGCCACGAACACGAATCACAATCATCACCATGCCACCGAGTACACCTCATGCACGAGTCAAAAAATCTCAAGTATTTCATCAAAGCAAACATCATAGCGATTAATGACAAGTCAAACAAAATATCAACAATTGAACGAAATATTATTTCGAAACTCAAACCCAAACGATGTCACAATTTGAATACGAATAAGACGATATCAATAAAGTACTCTTTGCAAAGAGATTAAAGGAATGCATATCATGTATAAACCACGTACCCACTTCTTAACCGATTGATATATTGATAACTCGAAATATCTCGAACAACATACTAGAATTTCTTTCCAATCGGATGTCATCTTGCTGTTGGTTTTCACAAGAGAAGTTGTAACTCTATTTATTTATTTTTTTTTCTATCCCCTTCACAATTCTTATCCTTGAGGCAGTAGCTCTTCTACCTTTTTATTGCCTCTCTTTATTTGTTTTATGCAGGTTCTCCTGCCTTGATAAGAAATAGACACACATCACATGCCATGCATTTGTATAAATTGACAAGTNTAGGTTCTCCTGCCTTGATAAGAAATAAACACACATCACATGCCATGCATTTGTATAAATTGACAAGTGTCCTACTTTACACCTCATGCTTTCTTTTATAGTAACCCATTTTTTTCTTGTTTTTTATCTCTTCTATTTTGTTTTACTATCTTATTTTATTCCATAGCTTTTAATTCATTCACGTTGAAGACTTGCCCATATTTTCATAGTTACACTTATCTTTTATTTCATATATATATATATATATATATATATATATATATATTTTTTATTTTTTTTTTCCTTACTCGATATATTTCGGTCACTATAAAATTTAAAATAATTAAATATTTTACAATTAAATCCTAACTTATAACTTGACCCCAAATGAAATTCGTATAATTTCTAACAATNTATTTTACAATTAAATCCTAACTTATAACTTGACCCCAAATGAAATTCGTATAATTTCTAACAATATCATATAACTCATAAAATTTTAATAATTGAATCTAGTTCGAGTCGAGACTCGGTCATACTCCAATAATGTGTCGTGTTTTGCAACAGGGCCAGGTGAAGCAAAAAATATCATCCAAGGGCAAATATGTATCAGTAAACATCAGACCTGTTCATGTTGTATCTAGTGAGCAGGTTCTCTCTCTCTCTCTGCCATTTATCCATTTGGTTGGTCTGATTCTATGATGCAGCCTCGCCCATACTAGGAAAAAATAGTAGTGATTATATCATAACATAAACAAATATAGACTGCAGAAGGCATTGAATAAGATGAATGAAACTTCATCTTCACTTCTAATTTGCATGCATGGTTTATATTTTGTGTCTATATGTGGATGAATGTAGATGGAGAATTACTGTTAGTCATTCTGGATGAATAGTATTAATGACTTGTAATTTTATTGTNGATGAATGTAGATAGAGAATTACTGTTAGTCATTCTGGATGAATAGTATTAATGACTTGTAATTTTATTGTGATTTGCAGGTTCAAGCTATGTACAATGCCATGAGGAGATATGTGCGGATGAAATATTTTTTTTAGTGTTCTTTTTTTCGTATTTTTTGTGTTTGTCCTTCTTTTGCATCTATTGCCTTTACTTTGTCCACCCCAATAGTTCTAATATAATTGTCTTTGCTTGACCAATCAAATCGTTGTAGGATAAGAATGGTTTGATACTCAACCATTTTGTATGTGCACAAGATGGATTGGATATTGTTATGTTAACAAAAAGTAGGTTTTTGATTACAACTATTTTTAAGTTTTAATTCTCATTATGAGGAGAAAATTTTATGAAGAGGTAATGGAGCAACGAACACCATGAGATTTTCATGTTCGAGTTACTTACATAGATTACTTATGGTCTGGAGAGATGGATGATACTGCAACTTAGCTGATTGAATTTGATAGAAGANAGAGAAAATTTTATGAAGAGGTAATGGAGCAACGAACACCATGAGATTTTCATGTTCGAGTTACTTACATAGATTAATTATGGTCTGGAGAGATGGATGATACTGCAACTTAGCTGATTGAATTTGATAGAAGACATTAGATATTTTGCTAACTTACACAATATTTGTTTTCTACACAAGCCAAGAGCCCGTAACAAGGCTGCTCACCGGGTGGCAGCCGCTGCAATGCACAGTTTGCTTTCATTAGACTAAGTTGGCTTACCCCTGCAAGAGCTTATGGCTTTTATTTTGAATGACTGTAACCAAAATTTCCCTACAAGCAGGCAGGTTATGGTTCCTTGGGCCATGGATTTGGNCGGGTGGCAGCCGCTGCAATGCACAGTTTGCTTTCATTAGACTAAGTTGGCTTACCCCTACAAGAGCTTATGGCTTTTATTTTGAATGACTGTAACCAAAATTTCCCTACAAGCAGGCAGGTTATGGTTCCTTGGGCCATGGATTTGGATAGCTGGCAGCTGGACTGTTTTGATTAGTTTTTGGTTTTAATCATTTTTGAAGGATTAAAGCCAACTCCTTTATAATTAGAAGTTTTGAATTCTTTTGCTTCTTGTAACTCCTTTGTAATACATAGTTGTAAATCACTTTTCATGAAATAAAGTGTTGATTTGTTTGAAAACAAAAAATGAGATATTATAAAACATATTTAGGATAAAACTTGAGGTAGTTACCAAATATGTTTTCTGTTTTTATTCTCATAATTTGATAGACAAAAATGACTACCAAACATGTTTTCTGTTTCAGTGTTTACCACAAAACAGAGACAATTTTTTTTCTTTGTTTTTGGTTTTTTGAAGACGCAAAAACAAAAACGTTACCAAACGACCCCTAAATGAAATTCTCAACTTCCATGAAAGTTCTGACCATTTTGATATGCATGATCTGCGAGTTCACTAAATTTGTTCGATGAACTAGGACCTGCTGAACTTACCTCAATCTATCCTAAACAACTCTTTTAGTAATGTTCCTAGGTTCTATTAGCAAAATGCAATATAAAAATAACTCACCATCCCGAGGTTAGGAGAAGGCTGGTCTTCGTCTCACCCGATGTTGTAGTGTATGAGGCAACAATCTGTACAAGAAAAGACCAAAATGATTCTTAGCAAACAAGCAAAAACTGCAGCAAGGAACTTTACAAAACTGCCAGGTAAAGTACATAAGAAATCAGACAAGACAGGTAACAAGAACTCATGACAATGACCCCAAGTACCTTTGATGGAGCTTTCCCCCAAACCACGCACTTCCCATTTGTTCTGCGAAATTCTTGCCTTTGCCTGTCACAATCATAGTTGATGTATATGCATAGAATGCCTGCTACAAGAATATATATTGCGAGCTGGAACAATAGGATAACTTGTTAGGGAACAGAATGGTAAGATAGCAACCAAAAACAGAAGCATAAAACCCAAAGTTTTCTAGTCATAGTTTTGTATTTTACAGCCAAACTTTTGTCTACCATCATATTTGACCAACTTTTCAGATAATAAATGGACCTCTAAACTACTAAAATAGACAAATGTAACAGTTTACTACTTTACTTTACTATGCAGTTTTTTTAGTGTATCAGTCAATTTCTCCCACTTAAGCACACTCAATTTTTTTTAGAGTCCAACGGCCACAACATTGAGACATCTATCTGCAACTGGTTACAAGAGTTTATAACCATCACATAATTTCTGTCAGCATCACCATTACATTATGGGAAGTGAAGTAGAAGAGAGGTGTTCATATCACCAATTTCTGGATGACACATACCTGAGTTCCCAGATTCACAGGATGATTGACTAGGTACATGCCAGGAGAAGTATACACAGATGGAACCCATACCAAGCATCCCCAACAAATATAAAAGCCAGCTGCCAAAACAAAATGTAGATTCAACCATAGTGATATTGAGCATTGGCAAAATTAGAAAAGGGAAAAACATAACAAAGATGAGATCTAGACATGGAACATGAGAAAGAACAAAGCCTTTATCAACCTCGATCATGTGCAATATCCATCGTGTTCCAGTATCCAGCTTCCCACCAAAAGAATTTTGAGACATACACCAGCATCAATATAGTATTTACAAGTATAGAATCAGCCACTCTCCCTTGTGCTTCATACTGATGGAGAAAGTATGCATCCAAACAGCAATAAGCAGATCACATAAGTCTATGTACCGATAAGAATCAGGCATACACAGCCGAGCAAGGAAGTACTCCACGGTAGGTTAACTTGAAATTCAAATCAAGCATTGCCTTGGAGCATTTACCTGCTTTATGCAATAGGTCACAGCAAGAACTGCCCAAGACATCATCCCAAATCTGCAGTTTGTGAAAACTTTGATATCAAAGTTCTTGCCAATGCGAGGATACAGCTCCATACCCTGAAAGAATGACAAGCACAGGAAACAATACATAAGAATATAAAATGATTAAATTGCCATCACACCCCCAAACATAAGTCCTAACATAACGAAAATATATTATTACAATTTTTTACTTTGCTTTGAAGATCACCAGCTAGGGATTCATGTTTGAACACATAGGACAAAGGAAGTGGGTGAAATGTGAATACATTAGTAACATCAGCTATATCGGGATTATTAGATTATAAAGCCGGAAAAACAGAACCAAATTTTTGAGCTCATAATTCATTAGTAGCAAGATGAATGCATAGAGGCATATAACAAAGCAATGAACAAATTCTCTAAATAAGTAGTTGAAAGCAACACACATTTAGATGGCCATAAAATACAATAAATGGTGCAAAGAGGCTCACCCAGTAGAAATCGACTATTACATTTCCACATGAACCAGAATCAGTTGAAGATGGTGCCACATGACCCTATTATACATGAATCGCTAGGCTCAGCAAAGTAGACCTATGTACGAAGATATCTAAGCAAGAATTAGCCTTAATGTAAATCCTCACCTTTATGTATAAGAAAATACAGAAGATGAAGCTTCCAAAAATGAGTGCTGAAAATATTTCTCCCAAATGATCATAGACAATCGTTGGGTTGAATATCCCAAACCTGAAGAATTCAATGCAGATAAGCAATTAATACCCACATTGTAATGTGTAGCTCTTGTTCATAGATACCAGAAATCAAATGTAACATATTGTTTCCCGAGTAAAAAGAAGTGAAATTCCAAAGAATGTGAAGTCAACGTTGACAGTAAGTTTTTCTGATAAAAGGTCATGCTACTTCAAACCATTAATCAAAACATTAATATTTGCAAAAAGCCTACAAGCATGAGACAAGGCATGGGCTCTGAATAACTCAAACAACTAATCCAACAACAATATTGTAAAACGCTACAAGCATGAGAAAAGATTTCGGCTCTGAATAGTTATTTTAGACAGACCAACAACTGGAAAAGAAGTTGGTACAGAAGTTACATTATGACTACAATCAACAATCTTTAAGGATCACTTCTATTCAAAAGAGTAACTACAAACAAAAAAAGACAAGATGAAGCCCTCATTACAAATAATGTGATACTAAAACATACTTGTTTCTCACAGTTTAGAGCATAAAACAAAGGAGCCAATGCAGTAACTCCAATAANTAAAAGACAAGATGAAGCCCTCATTACGAATAATGTGATACTAAAACATCCTTGTTTCTCACAGTTTAGAGCATAAAACAAAGGAGCCAATGCAGTAACTCCAATAAGACAAGAAGCAAGATCAAAACGGAGACATAATCTTCCAATAATCAGTCCTCTAAAATTACAAGGAAGAGCCTGAAGAAAGTGCAGCAGACAACAGCTAAAAATAAGCAGATTTACATTATCTAAGTGCTTCAGCTAATAGAAGTGCTCATAGTAGCAACTGAAACAATGTTACATAGAATTTGGAGCCCTCTAAGCCACAATTCTTAGGTGGCCTAAAGCACATAGGCAGGCCTTAATAAACAGATTTGATGAAGAAAGTCATTACCACCAAAGACCAAGATATGTGATTAATGTTACCATATATGCTGCCAAACCATTTGCCTGCAACAAGCAAAGAGCGTCAAACCCAACAAGTTAATTTTATAGCAGCTAATTGTACTTGTTTTTAATAACTATTAGTCTCTAGGTTCCTTTCTTTTTCTGAGATAATAAGAAAGAATTCTGCAGCGCAAGTGTTGAATATGTGGTACCTTGTAGACAGGCCTATTTCCTGAAGGAGATATTGGTCCTTCAACCCTTTTGCCTGGTAACAAAAGCTGAAGGGCAGCCTCGAATGCTCCATAACAGAAAATTATTTTCCATGCAATTGCAGTGGGTTTTGGCCAAATATCAATAAATCCCTGTAGCCCATGCTGCCTTAGATAATTACATGTCTCCAATATAGACCCATCAGCATGGACCATCGTATACCATCTGCATATAATTGTAGCAAATTATGATTTAGTGCCAAAGAATAGCAAAGATTTCAAATTTTGATAAAATAGCAAGAATTACAAATAAATGAATCTCCTTGGTCCCTTGACCTCAATAAAGCACAGACACAATTTAGCTATTATATCAAATTTGTAAGGTATCCCTCCAGTATTGTATCCATTTCCTCCCATGCTGCTCAGATTCAATAACTTAGCTAGACTTACACTATGCAGCCCCATTGAATTACGGTCAGCATGCTTAATACCCCCCAGTTCAAAGAGAAACATCTTTTAATTAGATAATCGCTCATTTCAACAACTTGATTTTTTGCAACAGTACTTGCTGTGATCCAACTATACGTTTGTGAATTGAATTGTGAGGTAGAAAAAAGCTACACGAAGGGTAAAGCAAACTTAATTTGCATTTTCTAGGTGACAAAAGTACACTTCAAACACTATATATCAAACAAAAATTGGTGATACTTCGAATCTAGGAAAAAATTGCAGTGAAAGTCCATTAGATCTGGAGATTACTGATGCTAAAGGCGAATGAAGTTATCAAGGACTTACAGTAGAATAACGAAAGGAGGGCAGAGCGTTAGAAGTGAGAGCATTGATACGAATGTAACCAATGGGGAATGTACCATCTTCGACTCCGCCATGTTTACTCTCTGAGGTATGGCCTTGACTTGGGGAAACACTGGTTTTTCTTCGTCGTCGTCGTTTTAGTAGCTTATATATGGAGAGTGCACCAGTGGACACGTCACTCGCAGTTTTGCCCTTCCTCTTAACTCCTTATTACGATAATGGCACATATTTTATGATCTTGTGAACACAACAAAACGAAAAAAAGAGATAGAAAATTAGTCTCAAATCTCTTAAGATTTATCACTTAATCACTTAGATCTTTTAATATTTGAAATTTACATACAAACCTCCTAAATTTTGTACAATTGTGATACTTAGATCATGCCTTCAATGTTCACTATTATATCCATCAGTTAATTATACTCAGACTCTTTCAAATTTATAGACATATAAAACTTAGACCTCTTAAATGTGAAATATTACATTTAAATCTCTTATTAGTTATAAAACTAATAAAATCTATTAAATGACCAAATTAACTCGATTAAGATAGAAGATATTGTATTTATTATTGTTTGACTGCTTATTTGGCTTTTTAGTTTTTTTTCAATAGACGGTATAATTGTATGCAAATGAGCGTTTAATTGAGTTATTTGATATATTTATATTGATTACTATTTTTTTCTAAAAAAAATTAAAATTTTATTTTAGTTTTATATCAATAGATGATATAATAGAAAAAAAATTGTTGATTAGACTTATTTTATATATTGTACTAGATAATGGAAAAATTGATCTAACTTGAAAAGTTCAGTTAGTCTAATATGCTCTAGGTATGTCACTCTTAAGTTCTAAGTGCAATTTATATATTTGAGTTACTTGCTGATTTAGGCATCGAAAAATTCTTTTTCATGTGATCAAAGTATAACAAATGGACATGGACGTCATCCAAATTTTGGCATCAACGCATAGATTTTTATTCTTGATTTGTTTCAATAAATGACAAAATAGAACATGAATTTTGATTGTAAAATTTAAAATATTTGATATTATATCTTTAATTGGAGTATTTTTAGTTTAAATATAATATTTTAAATTTAAGGGGTCTAAAGAAGTCTGTATGTAATATTTTAAATATCAAAGAATTTAAGTGATTAAATGACAAACCACATAAAATTTTGGTATAATTTTCCAAAAAATAAAAAGAAGAATAACTCACCGTTTATAGGAATAGAAGAATCTTTTCAAGTCAACTCAACTCAATAAAGTTTTTGTCCTAATGTTTCTTAGGTCGATTACATAAATTTTTTTTGCCATTAAGCTCTATCAAGGACAATTTTTTCAGGTAAATCATATGTTGTCATATCTTTCTTTATTATTTTATTTAAAGTTAATTTTGGTCTTTATTTACCCCTATGTTTACTATCAATGACTATTATATCCTTCTTTTTCATCGGTGTCGTAGTAGACTATTAATAAATATATCCAAACCATCTAAATCAATTCTTCCCTAACTTATCTTCTATATGTGTTATTTTTACTATTTCATGTATATATTAGCTCCTACTTTTACGGCACATTCATATTAACATTCTCATTTTTGTCACACATAATTTTTGAACGTTTTCGTGTGGTAACTTATCTCATATAGTTGTCCATCACTCAATAGCATAAATGCATATGGTCATTATATAGAATTTTACTTTTAGTTTAAGGGGTATACGTCTACCACACAATATATCAGATACATTTCACCATTTAATCCATCTTACATTAATTCTATGTATAAGTTATTATCAATATCACACTCTGTGAATAATAGACCCTAAATATTTAAAGTGTTCATATTTTGGTATCTATTGATCTTTAACTTTTACTAATTCTTGGTTTCGATTTTTTCTTTTACTAAAAGTATATTCTATGTACTCAGGTTTAGTCATACTTATCCTAAATCCTTTTGATTCTATACCTTCTCGTGAATTTCTAGTTTATTACTATTTTTTTTCACTAGTTTAGTTTCTAGTTTATTACTATTTTTTTTACTAGCACAATATCATCCACAAATAACATACACCATAGGAGCTTATCTTGAATGTACTTAGTCAATTCATCCATCACCAAAAAAAAGAAAAATATGAATTTAAAGTAGAACTTTTGATTTAAACCTATAGTAATTGACAATTTATTAGTTTCCCCCGCCGTTGTTCAACACTTCATAATACCTTTCTAAGAACTTTATTACGTGCCTTTTCTAAGTCTATAAAAATCATATGAAGTTCTCATTTTTCTCTCTATACCTCTTGAGTAGTCTCCAAAGTATATATATATTGTGTTTCCATTGTTGATGTTCTAGGCATAAATCTAAATTGATTTTCAAAAACTATTGATTGAAACCTTAATCTTTGCTTGATCGCCCTTTCCCAAAATTTTATTGTATAACACATTAGTTTAATACCTCAATTGTTTGTTCAACTTTGTATGTCTCCTTTATCTATATCTATATCTATGCTACTAATAAAAGTATACTATCAAAAAAAAAATTTAATTGACTACTTTAACCCTAAAACAATATATAACGACAATACTAGTCTTATATAATTTAGACCTCATATTAATAAGATTTGATTGATGTTAAACTTTTAATTGGATAACTTTACTCTCACAATACTAACTTTATTAATATGGATTCATATTAATAAAACTTCATTAATATTACACGTATCCAAGCCTTTCATATCATTTCTTTTAAAGACAAAAATTAATTATTAAAATAATTAAATTTACTTTTATTTATGTCTATCTATTTTCATTAGTTGATGACAAGTTTCTGAATTTTCAATTGAAATTGCATAAATGCACTAGAGGTGTCGTTTGGAAACATTTATTATTTTTAGTTTTCAAAAAGACAAATAAAATTAGAACAATTTTGGTTTTTTTTGGTAAAAAATGAAAACATAAAACTTGTTTGATTGCATTTCCTATTAAGGATAGTAGTAATAGTTAATTACTCATTATCACTCTATGCTATAACTTTAGAATTGATCGCCAAAGTACAGATTATCGTGAAATAATATAATACTTGAAAGTTCGAGGTCGAATCACAGAAAATTGAAAAAACTTAAAACGCAAGAAAAAATATAAGAAAACTTGTTTTGAAAATCATTTGGAGAAATTTTGTTTGTTCAAATGAATAAAAGTTGTTTGATTAAAAATAAAAAAATTGAAATACTTAAGCATCGGGAATACCATTTCAAATCCACACTTCAATTATTAATGATCCAATTTTTGAACTCAATTGAGAATCAGCTGAGGAATGCTTCCAATTGGAATATTTAGCGATGATAATATGGAAACAACAAAGGTATAATTAATAAATTATCTGAGTTAATATAAAAATTTACTTGTAGATCACAAGTATTCACCGTACTCGAAGTCTACGATAAATCAAGCTTTTCAAGGGGTAAAATAATAAATCAACTATCTTATGAGAAATTCTATTAATTAATTCAAGCATAGAATAACCAGTTATTTGACTCACAAGGAATCTCAAGCATTTGATGTGCATGACACAACGAATTAAGAAATTACACAAAACAAAAATTTTACTAAAAGACAAGAATTAAATCAAAAGAATAAATCATGTATTAAAAAGAAAATTGAATAAAAAATAATATTGTGCTTCATTGAAAGTGTATATCCCCTAGCTTTAGTTGGGCTTTTAGCAAGACATAAGAAAAATACACCAAAAATTAAAAAAGAAAAAACTGAGAAAAGAATAATGCTCTCCTAACAGGTAAAAACATTTGTTTATATTAAAATAAAACCTAGGTATATGTAGGAGATGTTGGCTTGAGAGAAATTCCTTTCTGTAAAGAAGTCTTTTTAAGTCAAATTTTGTTCATAAAATCTTGGAGGCGCGGGTACAAAATTGTTTTAGACTTCGAGCTCAATTTTTGAATAGTTAAAGGTTGATTCACGAAATATTTGTGAAAATTTTAAGCCCTTGAAGTCTTCTTTCCAACCCCGAAAAAATCAGGTCAATTGGATATCGGAACAAAAAGTTATGACCAAAATACTAAAGGCATGTCAAAACCTTGTTTTTTAGAATACTTTCCTAATCCAACTCTCAATGAGTTTTTTACTAAATTAGACTCTCATAAGGATTAAATTGTTGTTTTATCTTCAAATCTTCCTCTTTTAATCTTGACTCTTCAATCATTATCAATTGTTATTCTTCCTCTACTGTTTGTTTCACTTGCCTGATCAATTATTTCTTTAAATCAACTAACTTACCTGCAAAATAAATCAAACAATTAGAACAAGTATCAAACTAGAAAATCAAGTAATCTAACACATTTAATCACAAATAATATGTAATTAATCAATCATTAAATATAATAAAATAACACTTTTGATGGTTAATTACTCTGATATTGTATAAAATATGCATTGTAGAGGATGTTCTATAGGTGGATTAAAAAGTAAAGGAAAGATAATGCTTTAAATGAAAAAAATCAAGAGAATAGTATGGACATTCCAACACATTTTTCTTTCTTAGAAAACAGGATTGTATGGGTACATGGAGAGAAAATAAAGCACCTAAAAGGTATTGAAACAAGGGAATGTGAAAGGAATCTGCCCATATTGAAGTAAAATAAGATAAAGAAGCATTTGTAAATAACTAGGAGTGTTTCCAATCAGTTGGTTAAAATGACTTTTTTCATCACGTAGTAGTGGATTCTAATTCTGTTAATGGACTCCCAATTATGTTCTTCTCAAGCACTGCTTTGAGGTTCACATTGGCCATGTTGGTCATGAAATTAGTACCTGCACTTGCCCAAAGAGTGGTTTCTGGAGGGCTAAGCATAAATGGAGAAAAATGAGAGTTCACGATGTAATTTACTTTTCTAATTGTTTCCATTTCTATAACCGTTGGAAAACCAATACTTGGCCATGATGAGAGACATATTGTTCGACATATCCCAACCATTGTAGAGCTCTGTATACAATATGGTGTGGACCTCAAGAAGTATCCTACAAGGAGAAGAACAAAGCCAGTTTATTGCATTGAAGA